GATGGGAGAAAACTAGCCAAAGCATGTTAAATTAAGCAGATACTTTTTACAAAAAATAGAACTATATAAAACAAAATTTATTAAAAAGAAAAAACAAAACAAAAAAATTCCATTGTGTGAACATACTTACCCATCCTCACTTTAAGAAGATTATTCTAGAATATTTTCTGGGTACATTATCCAAAAATAATTTTTATTTTTGCGAGAGAATTGTCATAAATGTTTGTGAAAAGATGTGATTCTAACATGGTATAAATAGCATGTTAGAATGGATTAATACCATGTTAGAGTCAAATCTTTTCACAAACATTTATGACAATATTCTTTCTAAAATAAAGTACCATAAAATATATTTTTTTGAAAAACATTTTCATGTTTGTTAAAAAGGAAAAGAATACTTGAATAATTATTATCATTCGAGTAACAATCATATTTTTCACACATTTTTATGTCTAACCTTTCCTAAACTTTGAAGTTTTTTTGGTGTTGTTAGTATTTAAAATAGATCACTCTCGTTTCATGGGGCTTCCCACACTCCTCTCAGTAGAATTTTAATCGATGTGTTGGACTTTATTCTGTTGAGATATTTAAGTCAATTTATTCTGGCTTTTATTTTCATAATTTAATTGCAAATTAAACACTACAAAATTCTGTTCAGGGAGTGAATGGTATTTAGAAATTTATTTTGATAATTCATAATAGGCTGGTCATCGCAGAAAAGTCTCAATATTGAGTAATTTATGAGAAGTAGGCAATAGAAATTAGAGACTCAATTTTCAATGGTATCCTCTGTAATTATGCAAAACTTGTAATGGATTTCCTTGCCTTATTCCAGTTATGATTTCAGAATTGGTCATTTTTAGTATGCATCATTTCTATCATAATTTTGTTTAAAAAAAAAACAAAAAAATCATTGAACAGTTATAATAAGATTTTCTTTATCCCTCTCCAGAGCTCCTTATTTTTATTAAAGACGTGTCCCTTCGCAAAAAGCATCCCCCACCAAGCTATTGAAAATCTTTTGAATAGCTATCCACGCCAATCCCTATCCTACCACATGGTAGCACCGTTACTATACATTTAATAATATTTTTCCTCTCCGCAACGAGGGATACAAGTTTGTTTCCTCACGTGTAAAATTAACTCCTCTTGCTCGCTTCCTTCCTCTTTCCATTTTGAAACTCTTACACACACAAAGTACGACACAATAAAACAAACTTTTACACCGAACTCGCACACAGCTCACGCGGAAGTAAACTGCAATACAAAATAACGAATGAAGCGAAAAACACCTGTCACTTCGATTACCAAAACACATTCGAATTCGCGCGCACAGAGCGCGTTTTACTCGTAAATGCGGCGTTGCCGCTAATGAATCAGCCAGATTATTTATCAGAAAGATACCTGTCAGATATTTTAACAAGAAAGACTTTGATGAAACCAAAAATAAATATCAGGCACTTTTTTATCTGTCGGATTAGTATTCAGAACTATCAGACACCGGTGAAGCAGGCTCTTAATCTCGAATTTTTCTTTAACGTTTCCTGCGGATAGAATTGCAGCAGGACTTGGGTGAACAATGTTTACGTTTTAAATGGAGCATCTTTTCTTTCTTGAAAACAGCTAATTCTGCAACTGGTGAAGAATTCTTCAGCATGTTTTCTCTAATGAAACGACTCGTAACATTTGACATCAGCACTGTTAATTCCGTACGGCACCCAGGCCCGTGACTCGAAGGGCTCCAGGCCGCCGATAGTTCTTCAAAAAATATTTAATACTAAATGTTTGAAAATTTTTTTAAAAAAAACGTATAAAAGTTATATGTGATTAAACTACCCGCAAATAGTTGTCATAACGGAATGACGCGTGGCGCATCATTAAATATTTATAATATGGAATGTTGCTGGTTGATACGAGAATGTCACTTAGTGATGAAAAGGTTAATTTTTTAAACAAAACTTGTCTTTCAGTAGGAGGGGGGAGATAGGTGAAAGTAAGAATAAGGGGACCCCGAAATTAACGGGGCTATTAAAACGGCTCTGATGTCCACGGCCTAATAAATGGCGTATTACATATGTGCCGCGTTCCAACATTAATTAAATGAAAAGGTGCCGAACGCACAATTATCAACTTTACAGATATTTCAAAATACTCTGAAATTAACGTTAGACACAATTTATGACCATAGCCCCATTTTCTCACTATTTAAAAAGAAATGTTGCGTCTGTACTGACGCAACGCGACTCCGGGCGTTGATCACTTTGTACTTGGAGTAATCCTCCATTAATTTGTGCACATGGAGTGATCCTCCATTAACATAATCTGTCTTTGTCACGTCTCGTCGCAGTCAGTTGTCAAGATGACCACCAGGTAGCATCTCCGCGTAGGTGCCTCCTAATAATTCGGGCTCCTGCGTCTCTACCCAGCGACAAGAATTGGGAAGGAATTAGGATATGGGTAGGGTTTAGGCAGGGTTGCCATCTGTCGTCCTTTTGAAGGACTTGTCGCATTATCCTCCTGTCCTCCCTCCTTTCTTAATTTTCCCTTATAAGTATACGTAATGTAATTATGTAATCTGCGGAAAATCGATTTCGAGATTTCAACGGAAATACACGTTTTGGGGTCCCCAGATATCGAAAAAGGTTTTTTTATACTTCTTTTTTTCCACAACGTCCGTCGGTCTGGTATTTGAACTAGCGCCTAATCTATGCGTGGGATTTTTTCCAAATTGAAGAAATCCCTGTCTATTTGGCTCAAGTCGAAACTTAAAGATTTTCAAAAACATTCTCCAAAATTTGGGTGTACTTTACATAAAGCTCTGCGGTCATTTTCAAAATTTTCTCAAAATGCTGCAATTTGTTTCTTTAAATTTCTTGTAAGAATAGAGTAACATACTCTTATAAAAGTGGCATAGATCCGATTTTCACGGTTAACTTTAAATTTCTGAAATTTCAAATATTTTTACATGTCTTCCTACAGCCACAAAACTGAAAATAGAGATTTTTCTTTCAAATAAGATTTATTGTACGTAGTGAGTTCTTTCATTACAATCAGGCACTTTTTTAAACCTTGAGTAGCTTTTGCGTAATATGTGCAATTTACAAAATCACAAAGACAACTCCAAATTTGTTTTTTTAGATTCTGGTAGGAATAATGCCAAATGTACTCTATCAGATGTTACAAATGACATATTGCTCAATTCTTGTTTAAAACATACACAAATGTAATTTTTTGACTTGCCTCTCATGTCGTTAATATTTACATCAGCGGCAATTTCTTTACATTAATGCATTTATGAGTACATGTGCTTCACATAATATGAGATAAAGTTTCCCAAAAACTCAAGTTTTCCGTGAAAATGAGCTCAAAATTCAGCATTTTCTGAAACCCTCAAACACTTATTTTCTCAAAAACCGCTCAAAAATTTTTCTTCAGTTTCCAACAGATAGTGCTAATTGTACTGTTTAAGATGACGTAGAATTAATTTTGCTGTATTCATTTGTTTTTTCTAAAATTACACAAATGTAATTTTTTTGAAAGATATTTATCAAAATTCTTTAATATCCACATTTCCAGTGATTTGTAAACACTGTTGCAAATGCAAATTGTTGTGACAGTGTTCTGTGAAAGAGATTCAAGTCTGTGCCATTCTGAGGCACCGCTGGTTAAATTTACTTGGAATATCCTCTTTTTTGTCCTGTTGAAATGAAAATAATACTGCCATAATTTTAAAGTAATTTAATTCATTAATGGGACTTCATGTCTTACATATCTACATTTTTACTCAAATAAATAGTGTACATAATATATCATTAGGCTTATTGTGATATAAAACTTATTTATGTTGTTTTTTGTGGATAATGAAGGTGAGTGTGGGGGCAAAGCTTTCCAATTTTCATTTTTAATGATGCAAATACTAAAATGCTTTTTAAAGACTATTAATGGTTTGGAATTGTTGAGTACACTGTCTGTACATCATGGAGTATAAAAATGTAAAATGTCCTCTTTTTCATGTCCTCTGTTTTAAGTAAAATGTCCTCCATTGGGAACAAAAATTCTGGGAACCCTGGATTTAGGACATTTCACAGGTGATGGACTAGCCCTTGCGAAGCAGCTGAACTGGATTTGTTGGAACAAATTTCACTTGATATTGTCTGGGAATCAAACCCAGACCTTGGTGAATGACTTTGCTTCGAGCCAACGAGTTTTTACATGTTTACGTGTTTTTAACAAAAATTATCTTAAATCATGTAGATTTGTAACTGTTTAATGGTGTCTAGTTTTTGAAGTGGAGTAAAACAAAATTATAATTTCAGTTAAACCCTAAATATTTTTTACTAAATACATTCTCCCATAACCAAGGAGTAGTACTCAAGTGGGTTCTCTAGTGCATAGTACTGCAAAATTTTGTTTGAACATACCTCCGCTAAATTGAAAATGAGCCTCATCAGACAACACCAAGTTGTTCACAACCTGCAGTTTGGCTGCTAAGCGACCAAGGTCATCCATATGTATTGTTCTTTAGGCAACTTCATTATTTTCTTTCAACTGTTGCACAACCTGCATCTTATAGGAGTGGAACTAAGGCATGTCTGACAGTGTAAAAACTTTGGATTAGCGCTTCACAGGCTTCCTCTAGCCCTGCAAGGGACTGCTGTTATCTAGGACATCCTGAACTTTTCATCTTGTAATGCTAAATGTAAGGCTAAGTGTACGTGTATGAAATTGGTTCACCCATCTTACAATAATTTGGTTATCAGGAAATTTGTCTCAGCCTGAAATGGGAACGAAAACTTCTTTGAACAGTCACGGAAGACTGGAGTCCACAAAGCCGTAACTATAAATCGCCAACCTTCCCCACTTTATTCTACATACTGGTCATACAATGCCTCTGTACTGTGTCAATTTACTGTATCAGGCTATTCTTTCTGTGCAACCTGTTTAAACATATAGTTGATGGAAAGGGAGAGGTTACACGTGATCTGGAATATGAGAAAGTATTCATTCAAATACCAAAATTACATTTATTCAAGAGAAGAGAGTATTCCTTCTACAAATTTATAAAATGTTTAACTTTTATAAAACAAGTTTTCCTCTTGATCTTCTTGAAGCACAATTTCTTTATATATTTAAAATTTTAAATGAGTTCATTAAAGTTAACAATATATTAACATGATAGAATTTACTTAACATTTAAATCTCAGCAATATCAAACATTCCATTATCTTCAATTGAAAACAGTCAAGAGTAAGCTTAGCAGTTAAGGTTCTTCAAATATAAAGATTAAGTGGTTTCTTAAGGGTAGAAAGATTTTGAACACATGAGTGCATCTAATTTAGGAGAATTAAATGACCACCGCATTTGCAGATTTGTAACATTTACATTCTATTTTATTCCATGCTCAAAACATAACATTGTGAATGAAAAAACAACAACGAAAAACCCAGTTTACCAGTCAATGAAAGTAAAAGACAATGAAAACGAAATTAAAGTTTGAATGCAGGAACATGCAATAACAAAAATTGTTAGAAGCAATCAAAACTGAACAAACAATCCAATCATTAATATTACATTAGCAACATAAATTATTCAAATTCACAAGTTTAAAAAAGTAGGAGAAACATAAAAGAAAGTAGCATGCAAGAAAGGAAACGGAGAACAAAATTCTGATATTTCTCCTCCAAAGCTTCAAACATGACATCCTTTTAAATTTTTAGTGGAACTTTCGCAAGAGAAGAAAAATTTGAAATACATAAAGGTATCTAATTATGAGAATTAAATAAGAACCACGTTCACATTCAATCCTATCCCATGCTCAAAACATTGTCTGAATCAGAATAACCAAGGATGGAAGTAAACATTCTTTTAATAATAATAATTTTGTTTAAAAAATGGGAGTTTCATTAGCTTCACCAAGTACACATATCCAAGCAGAAAAGAATTGTTTTCTTACATTTTTTGTTATTGCTTTCAGCAAACAAAGTGAAATTGTTAAGAAAGGACAGGAATGGAAAAAGATTCTATATCCCACTGAAGAAGACAACAGGTACTCACTAAGAAATACTGTAATTTATTTGACATAAAAACAAGACATTTCTACAATCATTTCAAAAATCAAATTTATAGAAAATTTATTTGAAATAAAGTAACAAAAGTAAAGGAAACAGTAACACAGTAGTGAAAACAAGTACAAACACGTGAAAAATATTCTACATCGTGCACTAAAACAACCACATGAATAATGATGTAGCCACAATACACAACAAAATGGGCAAGAAAAAAATATATAAATAAAAGAAAAATTTAGTACTGACAGAAATACAATGGAATAAATAATCTCCATGCCCAGATTTAAAATCCCTGCACAAATAAATTAAAGAAATAAATAATCCCCCAAGAATGAATCTCTTATATATCTAATACGCAAAATTTTCAGACCTAACACATATCAACTATTTTTGATAAGCTCAAGTTAGTCAGGAGGAAAGCCCTGTTTCATCACATCAGGCTGCAAGCAGAGGTTACTTGTCTTTTCCATTCACAAGCACAGACGCACTCCCATCTTCTTCTTCTCTGTGCCGATTGGGATCATCCGGTTTCATCGCAGGGAAAAAGAGCACCTCCTAGAAATGAGGGACAAAACATGGCATGAATTCCCAGATGAGTTCCCAGGTTCATGCACCAAGCAGAGATGGAACGGCCCAAAATATCACCTTGCTTAAAATGCAATACAGATAAGAATAATATGACATTAGTGGTTCTCAATACTATTTATGCAGAATTTACATAATCAATACGAATACAAACAAAGTTACACATTTTGTCAAAAAGAGGAAAGAAGGATTTTTCTATTCTCTCAAGATTTATCAACACTAACTAGGCATTCAAAACAAAATATTAATTATTGATATGAATTGAGAACCAACAATATTGTATGAGTAAATATCCCAACATGCACAAAAAAACAATGTTCCCAAAATAAATTTGACCTCCATGAATGTATCCGAGTCAGCAACTTAAAGCAATACCCAATTATTTTTCCCCAACATGCATGTCATATTCAGTTTCATTTATTGAATATTTCCGAGGGTGTGATGGAATTCCTGCAAGCACATCCTGCAAGGAAACATTGTATTAAAGCTTCTCATTTGTGTTTCACTTCACGATTCATTGCTATGGATAGAATTAAGAAAATGCATGTAAATTAACAAAATATTTTGAAGATATCAATTTTATTCTCAAGATTTTGAATTATATGTGCAAAGTATTGTTTAAGTATTGAAATAATAATATTTTATTAAATGATATTTAAAGAAAGAAGAAACAAATGGATTGACACTATTCTAAAGTGTTATTTACATCATTTTATATTAGAGCTGAAATAAATACAATAAAACTTCTTAATAGTTTTTAAGTTGTGGATCAACAGAAGATTGTGCAGGGGTATGAAAAGTATACAGGTGTATGAATAAGTATCATACTTCCAACTTAGAATAGAATATGTATTAAAAATATCAGTTTAATTTGAGACATACTATAATGTGTATTAACACTAACATTAACAGCATTGCAAATGAAATTTCGGATAAAGTTTACTTTCTCAGGTGCACTAGCAATTGTGTTAATCTTCTGTTATCTGGCAGAAAATCTGCACATGTGCTCAGCCTGCAAAGTAAGCAAGTAATACTAACCAAATACACAGAAAATCACACAACTGAGAGTCTGATTTTTTTGGATCTTTCACTACCTATTAGCGCCGTTCTCCAACTCTGGAACATCATAGTTAATTTATGGTCATGTCACAATCAATTTACATTGTTCTACTCTTACTTATTCTTTAAAATTCAAATATTAGACCAATATTCTTCCTTAAAGCTTTCCAAAAACAACATTTGTTTTTTAAATTAATGATTTTGTCAATTCTCCTCCATAAAGATTACACAAAATATACTAAAGTCTAATAAGACATAATGTAATAGAAAGTAACAATTGTATTACTTTCTCCGTATTGTTTAAATAGTATAGAGAAAATTATATAGTGCTGTGGGAACAAATGGCCAATTTGTTGCCAAGAAACTCTTATTGCTGGCCACTGGTAACAAAAAAAGTGTATAAATCCATTTGCAAAATAATTCCTGTCACATTGGCTGGTTAGAATCCATTATTTGAAGGTCCTTGATTAAGAAATATCGATTGATGGCAAAAAAAATTGTCCATCTGCCTGTCTGGGAACAATGCCAGCAGCTAAACCATTCAGCCAATTTTCTCCAAAATTGATATTCCCTAATCAATTGGACTGGTGTTCCAGCCCCTTAAATTTGAAAGCATTATTTTATTTTGGGGGCTACTTTACTTTAAGCCCATGGTACATTATCAAAAAAGGCCCAAAATTATTTGATTAAAGTTTGTTGTTAGTGTAAAGTATATTTAAGATGATGGTGCAGGTCTAATTTTCGTTAAAATTCCTGATTTTTTTAACATTGCAAAAGTTCAATTTTTTTTTGTCCTCCAACTAAAATATTGAAGTTAAAGATGGTTTGTTAATGTTAATGAAAGCTGCTCTTTAAAGACAGATTTTGAAATTAGATCAAGTACAATTTTCAGAAAATATGAGTACTTTTGCATGATTTTGCATGGAATATAAGCAATTTAAAATTTATTAAAAAAAGCAGCTTTGGCTTAGCCATCATCATTAGTGTTCCGCTGTATGGAAGCCACAAAAAAGACGTATATAATTATTTCATTGGAAATGCCAACAATAACTCACCACAATACATATTTTCCTACAACTATAATTCTGAAGATAATTTTTTTTTTCTTAATCAAATGTGTACATCAGAACGTGAATAATGTCATGTTTAATTTTTGAATACGAGTTTTTTGCTTATTTGGCATCCAATACAGGCAATTTTTAAATTATAAACAATTGTTTTCTCAGACACAGGTCCAAATTTTTTCACATATGTAGCCAAGAACAGTCCCATGTTCTGTGTGCTCTCTGTATTTTCCAAAAGCAGAAAAGGATTCAAAACGGTAAATTTGAATGTTTGAGTTGGTGTTAACATATAATAAAACTGTTACATCACATAGCGTCAATATACAATAACCTTAACTGAAATTGGTTTGACATTGGCAGACCATTAAAGAGGTGTAACAGCCAGAACACTTGAAAGATTAATAATCTACCAAGAATGCTGTTATAAACTAATAGAAACGGCCTGTAAAGCCTAATATCTCGTCAGTTCATGATGATTATGATGATGAATCATTGGCCCAATTGTTTTCTTTTTAAAAATACCATTTAAACATAATATGAAAGAAAAATTGAATTAAAATTGAGTTAAATACTTGCATACAAACTTTTAAAATGATAATTTAATGTTACCATCAAAAGCAGCAATGTTACTGAGATGGATATTTTATATGTTCATTGTTGAACGGCGACATTAATGGGACAGATAAGATAAGACGGCTTTATTACCTTAAAGGTAAAATTACAATGTTCTCTAGGTTCAATTAATTGATATATCAGCCATTCCATATAAAAGAGGAAAAAGTGAAAAAAAATTTAATTTGTAAATAAGCTTAAATTTTAAGGTAAACATCCTCTCTAATGAAAAAAATTTATGATTTTATAACTTTTGTAAATGTGCCAAATTGCAGTTTTCAAGTACTTTTTCAATGATTGAAATCTAGTATTTTAGCCAATACATATTCAGTCTAAAATGGATTTAATGTTCATACATCTTTATCATGGCAATTCAACTGTTTTCCACTCCAAAACAGGATTAAGATTATAGATTAATACAATGGCTTAGTTTTTTGTTTTTTTGTTTTTTTTATTTACTTTTTTTTAAGCTGGTAAGTAACTAATATTTATATAATTAAATTTATAGAGTTATGACATTCAGTGTAACGTCCATAACAACAATTGTATCAAAGTTTTTCCTACGTAATGTAAAAGTGCACTTGTTTTATAATGTTCTTTAAGTTGACATTCTGGTGACGAGGCTTCAATAATATGATTTAATATTTATTTTGAACAAGAGCTTTTGAATATTAGTGTGTTAAGGATGTTACATACATTTTATTCAACTTTATGAAACTCTTAATTGTAGAGTTATTTTGATAAGATTTGTACATTCATAAAATTATTTCATAATATACACAGTATAGAGAAAGCTATGTTATGCTGCAAACAATCAATTTTGAGATTTAAACGGAAATGCATCTTTTGGAGTGGTAGCAAGAAAGTGGTTCTTTTCAAAACTTCCGTCTGTCTGTCCATCTGTCTGTGAAAATTACTAGCGCCACGTAGGATTTTTTCCAAAATGAACAAACCTCTGTCCATCTGGCTCGAGTCAAATCTTTGTGATTTTGAAAAACATTCTTTAAAATTTGAGGGTACTTTACATAAAGCTCCCCCTCTCCCCGGACATTTTCAAAATTTTCTCTAAAACGGCTCCAAATTTATTCTTTAAATTACTTATAAGAATGGTGTAAAATAAATACACTTGCATGGGTGGCATAGATCTCGTTTTCGTGGGCAACTCTGCATTTTCAAAAATTGCAGAAGTTCGAATTGTTTTCCAGATCTTCCTACAACTACAAAATTAAAAATGGAGCCTTTTCCTTCATATAAATTTGTTGTCCTTAATTAGATCATTCATTAAGGTAATGTAAATTTTTTGGAATGTTTTAGTTGGTTGATTTGTTGCGCAACATTACATGTGATATTTACAATTTAAAAAAAATACAAAATCAAGATTCTCTCAAAAAAGGCTCCAAATTTTTTCTTTCAATTTTAGAAAGGAATAGTGCTTAATGCACTCTATAAGATGACATAAAACTCCATACTGGTCTATTCTATTCTTTTTTTCAAAAAATTGGAAAAATAATTTTTTTGACTAGTCTGTCACCTTGGTATTAGCAGCAATTTGTTCACATTATCATATTTATGACATGAGCTTTAAATAATGTCATAAAGAGTTTCTAGAAAACTCGATCATTTTTTGTAAAAACTTGCTCAAAATTCAGCAGATTCAAAAATGCTCAAAAATCATTTTATCCAAAACGGCTCCAAATGTTTTCTTCATTCTTTTCGAACAGATAGTGCTAATTGCACTCTTTAATAAGTTGAAAAGTTCATTTTGAGTTTTTTTTTTCTTCTTTTTTTTTCATTCCAAAATTACACAAATGTAATATTTTTGAAGGAACGCTCATGTCATTTTCTTAAGAATGGTTCCACATTTTTCAAAGAAAATTGCCACCTAAGGTGAGGTTTAACTGTCCTTTAATATTCTATACTAATATTTCCTTTCTTCTATTAGGAAGTTGAAAAATTAAGAAAATTAAAAAAAGAAAAAAAAAGTACTTTGGGTGGCAATAGATGGCAGATGACAAGAGTATGTGGCAAGTTGCTAGCCGAGATCAAAGAAAATAGAAAACTAATACACAATAGTCTGTGACATTCTCTAGCACCACTAGCTTCCTAAAGAATAAAACATTTTTAGTGTATCTAAATTATTTCAGTTATACCTTTAACATATATACGTTTTTCACACTTATAAGTTCATAATAAAAGTCCCTTTAAAACAGTCTTATGTTGAAATGATCCAGGTAA